CTATCTGACAATGTGGGGTGTATGGGTTGTATAATGTTTCTGAGATGCACATACAGGATCCAAGTGTTGTTGTTTATTAAACATCACCTGACCAATGACATGAAACTGTTAAATTCGCGAGCGTCCACAGAGGCAGAGGCTAGCTCCCATGGACTCACTGGTCTAGGTAAACCATTTAGTTATTGAGAAAAAAATGTGCTTTTCAAGCAAACACTAGATGACAGCTATCTGTGTACCGTGGAGATGTATGGATCTATAGGAAATGGAGAAAATCGTGATACCCACCGGGATCTGTTGGTATTCTCGAACTATACACCCAACGATTACAGTTCGAATGATGCAAGAAGCATTCAGATAAAACTGTAGCAGAAAGTTACTTCAACGCTTGAGTAGGGAGGCCTAATCAGCGAGAAAGACGCCATGGAAGTATCCACGATATCCTATGAAAGCCAAATGGCATTGGCGATCGTCATATAAAGTTCGTTTATGTAGTTACTCGTTTCAGGTCAACAATTACTGCAAGAATGAAGAGCGAAACCGTCTCACCTGGGGTCCACTGGCACAAAACCCACAGCAGACACATATAAACCACATCACAATAAAGCCATCTTTGGAGAGAATTGGTGAGGATTTGACACTTCATTTAAAGTATCTGGTCGTGTGTTAAAATGGGCACTTGAGTTTTCATGCTATTATCCGCGCTGAAGAAAGACAACCACATGCATGAAAGAAGGATGCTTCGGAAAGTCTGTGCAGGGTTCTCAATAGAGCCGTGATTAAAGTGGCATGCAAACCTATATACTTGCCAAGAAACAAGATTGATCTTTAAGAGCGTATGAGACCAAATAATTTATTTTATCAAACGCCATAGATTGATTGAATAGTCAAAGTTGTTGACCGGGTTCATTTCGAATAGCTAACTACAAAAGATTAACTTAATTGAGGATAGGAAACCACAGAAGGATAAGGAATCTACAGAAATACTTATCCAGACCACTGCATCCAAGCACATTTTCATGCAGTGATATGGACAAAAGTGACATTCCTGAAAACCAAAACATTAGAGTAGATGGAGAGACTGAAAAAGGAAGCCTTTTTATCAAAGCAACATTGAACATATGTAACGAGAATGAATCAGCATTAATTCCACACTTTAATAAAACTCTTCTACCCATATGCAAAATGAAGGCGTGAAATGGAACGACTAAAGCAGGTTGTGAAAAACGCGGAGTTGTCTCTGATATCCGTATGAGCACTATTAGGTAACTTGTGTGGTTTACTCAATCAGAGCCTTCTAACTCAAAGTTATCATCGATGTAACGGAAATGAATCAATTGCTAAAAGGTACATTTTGGAGCTGTGACCAGTTGTATACGAATAGGTTAGAGCGATAATGGGTGTATTTTTATTCACCAGTTTAGTTTACCTACTTAAATAAGCTGAGCAGAGAATTTCTCAGAAAGTAGTTAGGTTGTTAAACCACTTTTATGAATCTGGATACTGTAAATGAATCTGGCACGTGCATGTATATCCTTATGTATAACTGTGTAAAAAACGTAAATTGGTCAACATTTGTTTCAATCATATACGTAAACGTTACCTTTTAGAGGTATGAATTTAGCAGTTGCATATCCTTTTTCCGCCTCAAGTGTACCGCTTATTTTGGCCGGTAATAATGGCAACATTTATTGATTCTTCTCCCCTTTTTAACATTCTAATTTGCCTGTCTACTCCAGGGGCATTTCTACTGCATACAGACTAACGAGTTGTACCGGTATGAACATACATTTTTTGGTTGACGATCTCTTCAATGCAGTGTTTGTTATGTTCGCCCTGAGTAAACCAAATTGCTAAGAATCGTATTTCATTCATCCGTACATCTAAATCAGCCATTCAGAATCTGATATAACCACAAATCTTAACAATTTTTCTTTCATTTTACTATGACTAACCTGTATTTCACCTGATAAGGTTGATGAAAACAGTTTCTCATGTTTTTACGATACATATGAAAAGGAATCCATTTTGTATTTCATGTAGCTTACCTACGATATAATTAATTCAGTTTATATTTTTGAATCAGTAGACAATAAAACGAACACTGGTAGAAGTATCTTTTTAAGAAAATCTTGGTAACAGTAAATGATTGAGTGGGTGATCTGAGTGATTTCAAATAGTTACACTCAATGTCAATTACAAAAGTAACTGATTTGTATTAGTGGCTAGTAATGTGTAACTATTTGTTTATTTTCTAGTATAAATGACTATACACCTCAAGTTTTATAAGGCATAACTATGGCCAATTACACATCTTACTTTTTAGAAACCTTTTGGCCTTACTGAACTTCAAAAATGATAAGATGGGTTTCGATTTCAAAGCAACGCATAATCGAATATCTACACGACGAATATTTCTTGAGAATTCTTCACCAAACTGAGATTAACTAGGTTTTTTGAATAGAGGAAGATTATTGAAATGATAGTGAGAGAGAAATTTTAATAGTTTGCTATTTCTTTCAAGTGAACAACTATACATGACTATTGTTCTAGTGATATGTGATTAAATTGTTATTTTTCCTAATAGTTTAGGAATATCTACATAAACGCTCATTAGGAGGTAGTTACATCCGGCTGACGAGTACCAGACTGGACGAAACACGCATCCTGGATTCCACTCCTAGCCACCATCTATCAATAATATCTACATAAAATTTGGCTCTGTTGATATTTCTTAGAGTACCGTAACTCACTAAGTGTCATTACCTTCTATAAAATTTTCTAGGAAAATTAACTTTTTTACACATCATAAACTATCCATTTTCTCATCCTCCATATTGTAAAAGCTTACCATGTCTCTTGAAAATGTCTAGTGATTGAAAGGCTGATATATCTTACCATTAAACTGTAAGGGTGAATAGGAAATTCAAGTGTTTCTAATAGCTTATAAATAAATAATTCGAAAACAATTACTATCAAGCATTAATGTACCCTTGTTTTCCTCAAGACCCTGAATATATAAAATTGATAACAGAACAAGTCAAAAAGTACTTAACTAGTTTTTGAGTCTACACTTTATGAATTATTTATTGCTTGTAAAAATCGGCAGTCATATATCGTTCACACCTATTTTTCTTGGCCAAACATCAAATTGAAATCCTTCATGGAATAACCTGAATTTTTCATACACTTAGATATATAACGATGGTTTTATTTATAATTCAGTCTTCAAATGTTTCACTGATTAGGGGAATCGTCAACCAAAGAAATGGAATGTTTACAACAAAAATCAAACAGTTTAATGATGAACACTTAAAATATGGGAAAGATGTCCTTTATACATTATTCCCTTTAGCCACAACTAACATAAAATCAAAGGCCTTATCTATGTTATCCATTAACTTAATATCCAATATAGTTAATTCATTTTACAACACCTCTAAAGTAATGAGTGCCCTTACAGAAAATCGGTAAATGCTCCATAACTGGCCACTACTATACATTCAGTTCCCTACTAAATCTCTGATATCCAGATTTATTTTCTCTATCTGTCTAATAAACTTAACGAATATAAATGTGAATGAGAGAATGGTATTCCTTAGATATATTAATTATCTCTTCTCTTCAGGATTTTAAACGTTCGCTTTTGTCAATTTTTGATATTTACTATCTCAGTTTCACTTGGAACTTGGCAGGATCTCTCTATATCCTCCATATTGAGAAATGAAGTGAGCTTGCAAAGAATTTTGAAGAAATATCGTCAAAAGATTAGGTAAAATAACTAACTGTGGTCATCATCTATCCGACTGACCGTTTACATACATACATTATTTTAACAAGAGTGGTCAGACAGTCATTTAACTCGCTGTATCACATTGGAAATGTCCGACGGTGATATGGAGGAGATCGTGCGAGGAGGAAATGAGAGCTCCTGGGCTTTCATGGAACCAGGTTCAAAAGACTTCAGTGAACAGAGCGCATTGAAGACGTGCTACTGAAGTCCTATGTTCCATTAAGAACCCAAGGGACAAATAATAATAATATATTCACATTGGAAATAGTCTATACTGCACACCGATGGAAGCTTCGGAAAATAAATTTAATATATTCCGAATAATTTATGCTGAAAACCTAGCAAACAGAATATTTAGTTATTGCCACTTCGAAAGATTTCACTGAATTTCCTACCTTCAAAGTAACTTTAATCTATTTCTCACTTGAAGTTCGTTAGTTTTACCACCCTTTTGCACTTTACATAAGCGTTCTTGCAATATTTTTTCTTCCTACTACCGATTCCAGGCTCTGTGATGCTTATTACTCTACTTTTAATGAAGTCTATATAATTTCTCTTTGATAGTTTCTGGAAAAAGTGGTTGGTAGAAATAAAAGCTATAATCTTTAAAAGGAATCCAAAAAACAATGATTTTTTTGTGCCGTATGTCAGTTACATATTACTGATGAGCTGGTAAACAAAGTATTTTTCACGCTGTAGGTACTATGAGTAATTTTTATTGATACACTGAGGCTAATTTTCTACCTCATCGTTTCACTACAAGCCCTTATTTCTTGTACTGAATGGTTTACAATCAACTGAAGCGAACTTTCGAAGTAGAGTTATACCTTATGTGGTTTCGTATTACTGATTAACTAATAATACGTTGAGTATTCATGAGGTTGCATTTGAACGAATTTTATTAACAAATCTTACTATAGATGTTCAAATGCAAAGGTAAATTTTAGACGACTACTTTCTTTGGACTTGTACGTGGCACCTGTTGCTTGCAATTAACAACTGTGATACTCAATAAGACGTTCCATTCGTAGAAACTATATCAGCTTTTACGTGCGCTTCCCAACAAATAGCCTAAACTGGAGCGGTATTAGGTCATCTTAATAAGGTTGTATTTGTCAATAAAGACTGGTTCAAACTAGCACTCTTTTAGAAAACTAATGTATTATGTTATTTATCAGGCTATATAACTACCTTTTTCTATTACTTTCAGGTATACACACTACTGGCGAAATGTCTTCAGATACTTGGTTGGTCTTGAAAGTAAACCAGGCCAATTCATCCAGTCATCAAATCCTTTCTGATATCATTCAGTCAATGGCTAATAGAAGAGATTTAGCTGTGAACATTCATTACGCTGGAATACCATCAACAGTGACTATCAACTGTATTGTTTTTTATAAAAAATCGAATAATCGAAAGGCAATTGCTACAACAGTAAAGTCAATTAATCATGATCATAGACCAATTATTAAATTAACATGTCCTCTTTCAAAAGAATTCTGTTTTTCTGACTGTTTACCATCAAATCAAAATGTGAGTGATATTAGTTGCAACTACCTATCCTTTTATCAAAAAGATACTGATGATAGCCAAGTATTTCATGGAATTAAGAAACTATCAAATTTCCCATATCAACAAATAAATGTGTTTCGATATACACTTCATCAGCTAGATAACAAACTCAATGGGAACTGGGCATGTCACTCTGAAGGTCATTCAAGTGAAATACACGAATTGGTCATTTCAAGTATGTACTAAAATCTTATATGATAGTTTATTATTGTTTTTAATTGTAACTTTAATTCTAAGAAGTTGATTGTAAAAGAAACCTTTGGTGGCAGTGTGATTACACATCTTCACACCACCCTACTCATCCCACTTTCTATCAACATAAATGTAGACACACAGTACCTGCTAACGGTCATTTATTTTCGCTTCATTCGAACAAATATCTTCCTACTGATGAGTGATGTATTCTACAACTAGTATATGGAATTTGTCGATAGTATAACTTTGTAGGTCAGTCACTTCAACAGAGGACAACTAATCATTTAGAAGGTTGTTCTTAATTTAGTATCTAACTAAATTCTCTTTCATTTTCACCTATTATCTCTAAGATTTTCACAATCTGTTGATTTCTAGTTCACTGATGATAAGACATCAAAATGTTCTCATTAAAATTTTTAAAATGCAGGTGAAATAAAAATCTCATAAATCACTTCAGAGTACAGGTCAATAGAGAGAGTAAAATATGCACAAAGTTGTATTCAATGCAAAAATCTTGATGTCGAACAATTCGACATCTAATATTCAAATAATACAGTTCTGCTAAATCATATAAGAAAAAGCATATACTGATTTCTATTTCAAGAAAACTTGTAGTCATTTCGCATATAAAAACATTTCGTCACAGCTCTTTATTCCTCATCAAATCTTCATCTCAACGGTATAAAAGCAAAGCTGTACCGAATAATTGTTTTTCTATTATTCAGCTATAAACTAATCGTAAAATTTAGTCAGCATTTAAAGAAATGGTGCTTCTTTGACATACTCATACAAATTTAGTCACTTAATCGATTCCAAGTAGGTCATTTATATGTAAGTGGTTGAATGAGAGTACTTGCTTAGTCGATACTTTTTCACCAGTCCCACTCAATGACTTCTCGGTGCTCTTCAGTTTTATTTACTCTAGTTTATACAGGTATATAAGATTCCTATTATGAAAACTATAGCTCCATCCAATTTATAAACCTCCATGTTAAGTAAAAGAGGACTCATCAGACAACGCTCACATTGTGCTTAAATGTATTTTAGCTCTGTTATTTTGTGTACAAATAAACAAGTGTAAGTTTCTAACAGTGACAACTCGAGCGTTTTGCTACAGAAAAAAGGAAAAGAATCATTTCTAACTTGGCCAGTTAGTCGGTTAGTTAGCTTAACTTATAGAATCGGAAACGCACTTCGAAGTTTAAGGATCCATGAAAATCCAATACCTCCTGATTGCTACTATTATTCAAATAACAGAAGTGGTGAAGATACTATTAATAAAATTTATGCATCTCGTTCATTTGAAAACAACCTTTCAGTTTCTGTCAATAACAACTGCATCACTGAAGTATTTTGTGATTTTTTAATCTACTTATGTCACTAGGAATATTGGAAAGTATCCCTTATGATGAATTCCCTTTTTGTACGCACTATTTACGCCTCATCAGTCTGAAAAATCCTGTTAAAATAATATTTGGTGAATAAAATAATTCAGTAGTAGCCTACAATTATAAACACAGAATTAATGATGGATCGTGGCTAGCAGTGGAATCCAGGATGCGCATTTCGTCCTATTTCGGACTCGTCAACTGGATATACCTGCTTCCCAGTAAGTGGTGTTGTTCCCACCGGCATTCGGACTCGGGAGTGATCGCTTGAAACGCCAGGGAGTTATCCACTACACCACTGAGCCACGATAGTCACTTCTTGTGCGACGGGTATAGTTTTGTTTTAGTATAATTGTTTTTTGTATGTTACCATCGTTGCTTGGACAGAATTGGTCGGTCTCTATTGGCATATTGGCTCCTGTGCGGATGCCTGCTAGCCGAAATCCATGATTAATACAATTAGAATGCAGGCAATATCGAGGCATCCGCACAGGAGCCAATATGCCAATAGAGACCGACCAATTCTGTCCAAGCAACGATGGTATCATACAAAAAACAATTATACTAAAACAAAACTATACCCGTCGCACAAGAAGTGACTATCGTGGCTCAGTGGTGTAGTGGATAACTCCCTGGCGTTTCAAGCGATCACTCCCGAGTCCGAATGCCGGTGGGAACAACACCACTTACTGGGAAGCAGGTATATCCAGTTGACGAGTCCGAAATAGGACGAAATGCGCATCCTGGATTCCACTGCTAGCCACGATCCATCATTAATTCTGTGTTTATAATTGTAGGCTACTACTGAATTATTTTATTCACCAAATATTATTTTAACAGGATTTTTCAGACTGATGAGGCGTAAATAGTGCGTACAAAAAGGGAATTCATCATAAGGGATACTTTCCAATATTCCTAGTGACATAAGTAGATTAAAAAATCACAAAATACTTCAGTGATGCAGTTGTTATTGACAGAAACTGAAAGGTTGTTTTCAAATGAACGAGATGCATAAATTTTATTAATAGTATCTTCACCACTTCTGTTATTTGAATAATAGTAGCAATCAGGAGGTATTGGATTTTCATGGATCCTTAAACTTCGAAGTGCGTTTCCGATTCTATAAGTTAAGCTAACTAACCGACTAACTGGCCAAGTTAGAAATGATTCTTTTCCTTTTTTCTGTAGCAAAACGCTCGAGTTGTCACTGTTAGAAACTTACACTTGTTTATTTGTACACAAAATAACAGAGCTAAAATACATTTAAGCACAATGTGAGCGTTGTCTGATGAGTCCTCTTTTACTTAACATGGAGGTTTATAAATTGGATGGAGCTATAGTTTTCATAATAGGAATCTTATATACCTGTATAAACTAGAGTAAATAAAACTGAAGAGCACCGAGAAGTCATTGAGTGGGACTGGTGAAAAAGTATCGACTAAGCAAGTACTCTCATTCAACCACTTACATATAAATGACCTACTTGGAATCGATTAAGTGACTAAATTTGTATGAGTATGTCAAAGAAGCACCATTTCTTTAAATGCTGACTAAATTTTACGATTAGTTTATAGCTGAATAATAGAAAAACAATTATTCGGTACAGCTTTGCTTTTATACCGTTGAGATGAAGATTTGATGAGGAATAAAGAGCTGTGACGAAATGTTTTTATATGCGAAATGACTACAAGTTTTCTTGAAATAGAAATCAGTATATGCTTTTTCTTATATGATTTAGCAGAACTGTATTATTTGAATATTAGATGTCGAATTGTTCGACATCAAGATTTTTGCATTGAATACAACTTTGTGCATATTTTACTCTCTCTATTGACCTGTACTCTGAAGTGATTTATGAGATTTTTATTTCACCTGCATTTTAAAAATTTTAATGAAAACATTTTGATGTCTTATCATCAGTGAACTAGAAATCAACAGATTGTGAAAATCTTAGAGATAATAGGTGAAAATGAAAGAGAATTTAGTTAGATACTAAATTAAGAACAACCTTCTAAATGATTAGTAGTTCTCTGTTCAAAAAAACAATTATACTATAAACACAATATCTCACGAAAATTGTCTCTGTTTGAAGTAAAGCAATAAATTAGATTAATAATCTTCTTCAAAACTTGGCACTTTATTTAAAGTTGCGAAAACCTAACATGAAGAATGACTTAGCAATAAATACTGACAATGGAAAACGAACGTGGATTCCTAGCAAACATCATTTACAAAAGAAATGATTTTTAGATGACAACAATAATGATGATCGGATGGAAACTCCGCACCAAATGCTAGTTTAACTAAGGAATATTTAAACAGTAAACACTAAGCACTATCTGTAATTTTTCTCAGATGTGTGTTTATTCAATAATAGATCAGTCAACGAATATCAAACAGTTAACTAACTTTCCTCTAAAGCTGATGGGCAGAATAGCGGCAGCTGCTCTCAAAAAGAAATAGGTCAACTTAGTTAAGTAAGAATTTGAAGACCTACTACAACAGACAGCGGCCCTGCACACGAATATCAGTAGGAAGAAAAGACGCTGTGGTGTAAAAGCTGCTGCAGGTTGCGAAACCAAAGAAATTTTAGGTAGTTCTGTACGGATTCTCCTTCACCGCTAGGACTCGAAGTGCTTGGGCTGGTAGAAAAAGGAAGTATGTATGCAGGAGGTGAATGAATGACTGGGAATCAATTTGTTTGTTTGATACCACAACAGCAGTGTCAAACGCCGTTTGCGGACTGTAGGGAGACATGCATTAGAAGCTTTAGTCATGCGTTATTATGAAATTCGTCACCCAACAATTGTAACGAATCGCTTAAGACAAACTATACGAGAGGTAGACCTCTTTGAGAGAGATTATTACGGGACGTGTATTATTTGTCACGCACCAAAGTCTCGAAGCAGCAAAAGCTGTCGGTAGCGGGATTACCTTCCACCACCAATTTAATTACAAAGTATGGAATTTTATTTACTACAGATGGAGAACCATTTGGATATTAAAACAGGGTATTATGCAAAATACTGATAAAAATCGTGAACGAAAGACATTTTAGACTCACATTCTTTTCCTCCACTTGCAAGAAGTAGAAGGAAAATGATTGTGTGACTGAAGAAGCCGACAGTCAATCCATTTCATCTATTCTCTTAGTGAAATCGAATGGGAAAAATGGGTTTCATGTGAACTTTAGAGCGCTGAACAGAATTACCAATTTGAAACCACGTGCAACACCGATGGTGGCCAAGACACTGGACTGCTTACAGACTGTCATACTGTTCAAAGTATGGGACTTACGTTTGGGCTACTGGCAATTACCGATAAGAAAGGTGATCGATGGAAAACAGTCTTCATAGTGGAACAGAAACAGTGCGAATTTAAACGAATACCAAATGAAATTACAATCTACCGCAGTGTCCAAGTTTTACTCCGATATTAATTAAACGAATAAAGTTTTATCCTGCAAGAGCATTGCTTACGTTCAGACGACTGATGACATTACTGCTTCAAAATTTAAAGAATGTGTGGGTGCAAGGCGATGACCTCTTGGTACATAGCGTATTCAAGAAAGACCATTTGACGCATTTGTATT